TCAAGCCCAAGGGTAAATTTGCAGCGAACATGTTAGCTATGTCAGTTCCTGTTGCCTCTATTTTTGATTTTCCTTTTTAGTCTTAAACTCTTATTATAAATGACACAGCAACTGGTTTTATTTTTATATTTTAACTTTACTTATACTGTACATTTCTCTAAATGCCTCAAATACTCAGGAAAATGAAATATGAGACTGATAAATAGATTGATAAAACTCATGTATAATGACTTGACAAGTTAATATTTTCTCAGTAAGTGCTCATAAGTAGTGATATCCTCATGTTCCATGATGAGTCAGTAAGCTTCAATATCTATAATTGATAGAGACTTCATCTAACATCTAAGTATTTCTTACCTAGCTGGGTTCCCATTTTAACAATTGTCAGCCCCATTCCTTAATCTTTGCTTTCAAAATCATAATAAAGACAGTACTTACTAGATAAAATGATAATATTCCTTTCACAGAATACAACCATACCATTGAAACTTACTGAAATAAGAACATCAGATGCATCACATAGAGGTTACTTAGCTGAGAATATGTTAGACACCAAAATTACAGTACATTGATTTGCTACTTTTTAAATTTTAACTTTGAGTTCTTCTACAATGGTAAGAAAGTGATTCCTTCTTCCCATTGATTACTGACTTGAGCATGCACAGAATATGTGTTGAGTTCTGGACAGCATAGGAAAAGAATCTGAATAAATGGATTCAAAGGAAAGTATCAAATTGGCAAATAGTTATAAAGTGTATCTCATGGCACTGCTGGAACTATAAAACATATCCTGGAAAAGTTTTAAGTCTAAATTGAAGTGATGAGCTCTTGTAAACACTGGACTTTAATTTGTCAACACTGCACCTTGAATATACATGTGGCTTTTAGTAATACAAATATACAAAGACAGGGGTCATTGGTTCCTTGTACCAAAATATATTTCACTATACTGAAAGATTCTAAAGACCTTCCCAAAGCCTGTATGGGCTGTGGCTTTCTGCTAACTTGGATCTGACCACCCATGTATGAAGATATCTCTGCATATGTCTCATAGACTATGTTCAGGGAAAAGTCATCCCCTGGAAATATTGAGGTGGATTTAAACAGTCACTCAGTGCTGTGGGATGTTTTGTATGCTGTGAATGTGTTGCTCTGGTTGGTTGATACATAAAAAGCCAATTGGCCAGTAGCCAGGCAGGAAGTATAGGTGGGATAAACAGATAAGGAAAATTCTGGGAAGAGGAAGGCTGAGTCAGGAGATGTCAGCCTGCCATTTTGGGAGCATGTAATGGCACACAGGTAAATCCACAGAACACGTGGCAACATATAGATTAACATAAATGGGCTGAATTTAAGTGTAAGAGTTAGTCAGTGGTAGGCCTGAGCTAATGGCTGAGCAGTTTTAATTAATATAGGCCTTTGTGTGTTTACTTGGGTCTGAGTGGCTGCAGACCAGGTGGGACACAGGAAAATTTCTAATATAGCCACTCAAACAGTCTTCCCCTCATTCTACTGCTGAAGCTAGACAGAATGTAACAGAGAGCTGAAGCCTAAGAAAGGATCCCAGTGGAATGAAGGTGACTCAACATGGAACAGTTTACTGATCCTTTCCATCATCCATCTCCCCCACAACAACTCCAGAATTACTTTCACAGCTGAGTAATTTCATAATCAAAGAATATGAACAAGAGGTAAATTAGACTGACTTGTGCATTCAATGGCATATTCCCAAGGAGACTTGTATCTTAAATGTGTTGGACACTGGACACTGCTATAGTAGATGGGGTGGGGAGAGATGATGTTAATTTAATCAAGCCAAAGGAGAATGTCTGCAACAGCATTCCCTGCTAGCTCTCATGTTCTTCCAAGAGCTCAGGGCCTGCTTGAAAGCACTTGTAGACTTTGCAGATTTCTCCCTTTGTGAAGCTTTCCTGGGTATGAAAATACCCCAGGATTGGCACTAACTAAAAAAGCCTATCCCATCTGCCTTTTTACATTGACCTCCAGCCAGTCCCTGTGGAGCAAGCAGCCTGATGACACGGCTCCTTGTCAAAGAAGATGGTGGAGACACAAGAGAGAAGAAGTCTGCTGGTTAAAATTCAGTTTATTACAAGGAGGGGATGGGGTTGTCACCTAGATTTGGTTGTAGATAACACAGGTTCTTTAACAGAGAGCTCAGCTCCTGGCTATTAGTCTTGGAGCCAGCAATTGTGAAAGCAAACCACACTATACATTATTCAGTTTCTGTCTTGTTTTTCAGGTATTTCCCTTCCTCGTTATGCATTGCTTATGCTAATAATACAACAAATTTGCATTTCTTGGAAAAGTCTTAACTTGGAATTGAAGGCTTGAAAACATTACTTCATATAAAAATGTAGTTGTAAAGTTAAGCATCAGTAATGCTTCAGTTGGGCAGAAGTAGGTTAATTAATTCAATGAATGAGCAAACACATGCTTTTTAAAAAGACAAGCAAGGTGTTGTTAGTCTGCAGAAAGATAGACAAGTTTCTTTTCCAACTAATTAAGACCTAAGAGGAAGGTGTCAGTGATGTGTTATGGGAACAAAAGAAAAGAGACACATTTTACCTGCTATTTCAAGTAGTCATCAGTAAAGATGTACGCATGCACTGGTAGCTTTAATTTTCCAAGTATCTTCTATACTCACTGTATCATTGGATTTTTGAAGTCATTTATGCTATAGACAGTCTCCATCATGCAGACTAAATAAATGAAGATAGTAGGATAAATATTGCCCTGGAAGTCACCTAGATGGCTAATAAACAGATCTAGGACACAGCCCAGGCCTCTTGGCTTAGTCAGACACTCCTTCCATGATGCTATGTTGCCACTAAGAGTTCTCAAAGGATCTCTATTCAGTGCGTGCCACCAGATGTTAGCTATGCAGTGTGTGTGTGTGTGTGTGTGTGTGTGTGTGTGCTGTTCATGTAGGTGATGTACATATGGAAGCCAAAGGTCAGAGGTCAGAGTTTAAGAAGTTGTTCTCTAATGCTTTCTCCTACATATGTTTGAGAGCAGATCTCTCCCTAAACCTGGAACTCACCAATTGGGTAAGGCTAGCCAGTGAGAGAGCAATTTCTCTGGGGCTAAGATCATAGGTGTATACCACCAAATTTGACTTTTTATGTAGGTGATGGGGACTGGAACTCAGGTCCTCATGTCTGTAGAACAGGCATTTTAATGACTTAACCACCTCCCCAGAACACTAAACTTAACTATATCTTGATTTCTTCCTCTTTCCTTCCCTCTCTTCCAACTCTTCTCTCTTCCTTTCTTTTTCTCTCCTTTAATCCCTCCTTTGTTTCCTGTTGTTCTTCATGACACTGTGACATTAGTAGGCAGGTTGATTTTTTTGTGAGGGGAATTCTGATCTTTAGTTGTTAAACGTAACCATGGACTTCCAAGTTTAATCTATCACTATCACATGTGGGATGGTGGGAGTAGATGGTCTAACAAATTTTCTCCCTTATGGAACTCCTCTGAGGTTAAACTTGATTGTTATGTGAAGTGCTCAACATAATCCCTAGTACATTGTAACACCAACGTATCCACTAAACAGTAGTGGCCTCTGTTGTGTTCTTAATTTCCTCAGTAAGTAATGATGAAATAAGAACTTTAGTAATGACAACTGTCTTTCCTCATTTCAAAAAGGAAGGAAATGGAGCTCTAGAATATATAACTCTGATTTGAGATAAACTTAGATGTTCTGTCATTAGATGGTTAGGGAGAGTTCTAGGCAAATGCCAGTTGATTTCAATACCTTTCTTGTACAAGAAAATGTTTTCAATGGGTAGAAGAATGCATAGCTAGAGATGAATGCTCTAATTTCTCATATGCTTGTGGAATCATAATCAGCATTTACTGGAGTGGATGGTCTCTATTTTGTCAACATAATGGGAAGTTACTTTAATATCAGACTGTGACAGGGAAAATATATTCAGAACTGGAAAGGGAAAATTCTGAAGTTGTATGCATTAGGAGAAAAAAGAAGTCAGGGCCTGAGGTTAGGGAGACTTTAGTCATTGCGTTTGTCTCTTGGAGTCAACATAAAATGTGTGCAGTCTCAGTGGAATTCTATAATTGCTGTTCCTCTAGCAATGGACCAAGGCAGGCTGCTTTCCCAGTAGTGACACATCTTAAATCAAACTTCACCTTGGCTGCTGACATACTCTTGGGTGTAGACCTGCGTTGGCGATGAAGCTCCATACCAAATGGTTGCAATTGCAGTTTAGTTTAGAAACAGTGATAGAGTGAAGGTCATCATCCATTTGGAATGTGCAGCACTTTCTCACATCACTCAAACAGGGGATATAGTTTCTGCTAATTCTCAGAACTGGAAGATCTCTGATCCCTCATTTTCACCCGTCCCTGCCAGCCATCTCTCTATTCTACACTGTGAGCTTTGTTGCCTGTTTCTTTTAAATACAGTTTTCCTGCATCTCAGCACAGGCTGTCCTCTGATGAATATTTGAATGCTCTAGTTTTTCTTTTTCATGCTCTTGTTACTTAGGAAATAGTTGGAGACTGACCTGAGGGCATGAATATAAAGCCCATGTAGTATCTCTCTTAAGATCACAGTTCTGTTCATGTCTCCAGCATCTGGGCACTTGGCTAAAGGTTTGCTCTAATACTGTAGTCCTGCCAGCTTCCTGTCTCCCTAGCCCCCTGCGTTCTAGCCCATCCACTTCCCATCCAAGGTGGGCATTCTGCCTACTAATGGGATAAAGCTGGCACGTTACCTAACAGAAAAAGAATCGTTTTCAGATAGAAGTAGGGGAGCCTGACCCCTTCCTTCTCTTCCCACTCCCTCCATCTGGAAGAGAAGAGAAACAGAGAAATTTGGAAGTTGCCAAAGTTTAATTACTTCTACTGAAAGTGCCAAAATACGGGAAAGTTTATCCTTCAGTGGAAGGAGCCCAGAGAGCCCTGCGGACATCTGAAGCAGTCTGTTTGCCATTTGTATTTTCTCTTTTCTTCTTTAGCCTCTGAGTAGCAAATTTCCACTTTTCTTTTCCAAGAAGAATGAGGACAGATTGTCCTTTGGAGACATCAAACAGGGTATTTCGGAGCCTTCCACTCGACCCAGAGCTGTAGAGCTGCCTAAATACTTCTGTGTGAAGGTGCAGAGGCACATTACCTGAAACAAGGGGCAAGCATGTGCTGACATGACCAGATTTGACCAGGTCTTCAGGTCAGCCACTGGCACATATAAATCACATTAAAATTAGCCTCCCCCTAACCAACTCATGGCAGGGGATACCACGGTATATATTATAATAGTCCATGCATTTCTTTTTAAGGTAGAGGAGAAGCAAATAGAAGAAAGAAGCAGAGAAACAAAAATGTAAGAAAAATTAATATGAAATTGTAGGCAATATCCTCATTAAAGAAGTTATCAAAACCACTATGCGTTGGTTGGGCTACACATATTTCTGTGGCTTATCTGAATTTTTTTGTTTTTGATTTTTTGTTTGTTTGTTTTGTTTTTTGTTTTTTAGAGGCAGGATTTCTCTGTGTAGCTTTATGCATTTCCTGGATCTCTCACTCTGTAGCCCAGGCTGGCCTCAAACTCACAGAGATCCGCCTGGCTCTGTCTCCCGAGTGCTGGATTAAAGGCATGCACCACCACCACTGCCTGGCTCCAATTTTTTTTTTTTTTGGTATGATAATCCTGAGAACACATGCTAATATCCCTATTAAAGAGATCCAAAGAAAACTACATTTTTATTAAAATTGTGGGACTTCATTGAAATTACCCAACCAAGGAAGAATGGAGGTCAAATTACATTCCATGTCTTCTGACCCCAGGACCAGACAATATTATATCCTTCACGTTCATCTCCCAATTACACAGTGGCTGAATCAGCTTGTGGCTTTCTTTATCTGCTTTTCTATTTACTTATTGTCAGTATTTGGGCATTTATGTTTACATTTTCATTTCCAAAAGGACGGGAAGGATGATTCACTATTCTGCTTGTTAGTTGATGCACAAAATAGTTAAACTCAATGATTAAAATTTTGTATAAATAATTATAAATTGAAAATATTGCTATTTTGTAACTTTTTTCACATTCAGGACTTAAAATTTGTGACAGAGTAAACTTAAGGAACAGATTGCTTATATAAGAATTAAACACTTAAAAAGAAATAAGCTGAATATTTTTTTCAGCTTTTACCTCAGACTTCCTTAAATCATGAAGGGAAATCTTTTGCATTAAAAGGGAGCATGATAGGTTTTACATGTTGTTGATAACTCCTTAGAGAGCCTAGGAGTCACACATCTCTCTTAGGTCCGCTGTGAAATCACATGCATTGCTTTTTTATTTCTGATGTCTCTTGTTGCACGAATCTCTGCAGGAGCTGAACAATCATTCTTTGATACAGCAGGTACTAAGCATGAACTTCCCCACTGTGGGAAATTGGCACAGGGGATGATGGGAGTAGCTTGTGCATTAGAAGCTGGTTGGACTTTCTATTTTAAGCGCCCTTTTGCTTGCCTAATCTTTCATATATAAACCTCATTCTTAATGTCACATGAACTATAGATATTTCTCTTACAGGTTAAAACATTTATTTTGCTAGTCCAATATTGCTCCCAGCTGAAGACAGACAACCAGGCACAGATATGCATGTGTGATAGAGGTGTGTGTGTGTGTGTGTGTGTGTGTGTGTGTGTGTGTGTGTGTGTTTGTGACTGTGACTATTTCTGTTATGTGTATGTTGGGGCTTGTAAGAGAATTTGAAGCATGAGTAGAAAAAAATACAGAAAAGGATCTTTATGATAATGGCTTCTTTATTTTCACATTTTGTTTATTTATTTTTATTGAGAATAGATTTTTTTTTGCTCAAATAGTATGTCATGATTACGGTTTCTCCTCTATCCACTCCTCCCAGTTTCTCCTCCCCTCCAATCCAGATCCACTCTCTTTCTGTCTCTCATTAGAAAACAAACAGGCTACTAAGGGATAACAATATAATATAATATGATATAATATAATAAATATAATATTTTAAAGAGTAGAAAACAAAACTAACACATTTGGAGTTGGACAAGACAAATGAACAGAAAGAAAAGAACCCAATTGATCAGTACCTTGGTCAGCCAGGATCAGAGATACTTTCTTCTGCAACAGATGGGAACAAATACAGAGACCCACATATTGATATTATGCAGTGAGTGATACACTCAGTCCTGAATGGGATGTCTCCATCTAATCCCTCCTCTCAGGCATCAGGGAACCCCACTGGAGAAGAGGTAGTGTATAAGAGCCAGAGGAGATGGAGGACACCAAAAAAACAGGCTCTTTAAATCAACATGCTCAGAGCTCATATGAACTCATAAAGACTGACAGAAGCAGCATCCACAGGGTCTCTGCAAGTCTACACCAGGCCCTCTGGGTATATGTTATGGCTTCTGGTTTAGTATTTTAATGAAATTCTGGGGTGTAAGATAATATCTTCTAATTCCTAAATTGATCAGTCCTATCTTAAAGCCTAGGGTCTGATTTTTAGAAGCCATGGTCCTCTCATGTGAATTGGCTCATATAGGGAAGTAGCAACATTCCTTCTAGCATCCCCTCAAAACCACAGCCACGTTGTAAATTTGACCACAGATCTTACCCACTGTAATTTGTCTGTTCAAGTGCCACATTCAGTTAATGTAGAGTGATGGCAAAGGATTTTTATCGAAATAGCCTTTGGGCAAGGTGTATGAGAAAATTGTTTATTAATGATCTCATACATTCTGGATACCTGAACACTGTTGAATGACTCACTTTAAATGGGGATCATAGGCTGTAAATAAAGGATGTCTAGGCAAGTGACTGAGAGAAAGGCAGTAGGCAGCATTGCTCTTTTGCTTTGCTTCAAGCTCCTGCCTTGAGTTTTGCTCTGTGATGAACTATAACTTGTTAGATGAAATAAACCCTCTCCTCTATGACTTGCTTTTGGCTGTTGTGTTATCACAACAATGGAATGCAAAGTCAGACAGAGGCTTTATTGATTTGACTAAACATCCCTAATGACATATAATACTGAGCATCTTCTTGCAGACTTTTTTTAATCTATGTATCCTCTTTGGAGGGGTCATTTAAGGTCTTTTGCCTTTTTAAACATTCGTCTGTTATTGTTGAGTTTTAAGACATGCTTTGCTTTTAGATTTCTGATGCTTCTATGGAAATGTTTCTCTAAAGAGAAATAATTATTCTGTGAATTTTTTGTTTCTGAAACAGAAGTCAGCAAAACTGAGATAGTTCAGGTATATATTTCCCAAGGCTTACAAAAAAAAAAAACCCTGTTAATTGAGATTATGCACTGAAAGAAAAGTGCATGCACTAAGCAAGCATGAGTGCCACTCTTAAAACCAAGCTCTAAAATCTACATCATCTAACTGTGTTTCCAGTAGTGTTTACAATGACTTTAACATCCATGATGACACAGCAATCATGTAATGCAATTTAATGCAATTACTTTAAAATAATGATCAGTTTATCCCTGCTAGAGCATAGGCATATTATTTAGGATCCAGGAGCATTTTAGCCCTTTAATCACTGGAGAGAAATTCCAGAAATGACACTTCAAGTCCTTGGTCACTCACTGTAATCATCTCTAACATGTAAAGGAAAAATATCTGGCCCTAGCCAGGCTGGGACCAGATCCAAAGTAGAGTAGAAAGTCTGTTCTTTGTCTTTTCCTCCTAATTTATTCCTCAGTCTTAGATTTTTTTTTTAACTATGGAGTTAAAAAGAAAAGAAGTATTTGCTTGAACACAGCTTTGATTTCCACTTCTCTTGATTAGATGCTGTATCCCCAATTATGTTCAAATTATATCATTTGCAGCTCCTTACTGAGAAGTAAAAATGCTTATATCTCCAGATGTAATGGGGATAGTAGAAGAATAAAGTGGGCCTTGAGCTGCCTCACCTGAGGGACCACATGTGGTCCAGTGCTGAGCTACAGAGTTAAGCAGAAAGTGGCCTGGTAGGCACCCACACTGGATGATGTTGGGAAGGTGAAGAGCATTGCCTAGTGGAAAGGGTGGTTACTGTCAACTTCAGTTGGCCATCAAATTCTGGAATATGAGCCAAGTCAGATTATACTGTTCAAAGAAATCTGATTTTAATATGAAATCTCATTTCTGTATGTTGACACTATAGCTTCCCATCTTTAAAGAAACCTGGTAAGCTTTGTAAAGTCTGTCTGTGGATGAGACCTGGTTTTTTCTGCAGGTGATATTCACTCTGTGTGGGTTCACTTTGTTAACTGGTTCTTTAGGGGAAATTGCACTTCAACAAGCACAAGATAGCCACATAGATGACAATATAGGAAGCACATTTATTTTACTTTTATAGGTATATAATTTTACTTCTAATTATGGCTAAGCCAACACATCATGACTCATTTTGTGAGGATGTAATGCTACATTTTCTTTCTCTGTGTTGCCTGATCCATCACATACACACACACATGTGGATTGATAGACTCTTTCTTCCAGGTTCAGCCCTGCTTCCCCACTCACCCAATTTTGTGTCTCCTTTTATCTTTAATCCATCAAATATAGTTGTTCCTGCCTATATAATGATACATGTGTTGACTTCAACCAGAGCAGGGTCAACCCATCAGGGTTTGTACCCTTAAAGTAAACTGACTTTTCCTCTCCCATCTCTATAAATTTTCAATAGCTTTTTAGTTAGGGGTAGGACCTCCTCTATCCATAATGCAGTTTTATTTGATGTATTTTGACAATTTTCTGCCTTTGTAACCCCTCCAAGAGTTATTCTTTCCACTCTTATGCACCCAACTTTAAGTTCTTCTCCCTTCTTCTCTGAGTGAGTTCAATTCATGTTGCTAAAATACCTTTTTTTTATTTTTTATTTTTTTAGTTTTTCGAGACAGGGGTTCTCTGTGTATCTTTGGTGCCTTTCCTGGAACTCACTCTGTAGCCCAGGCTGGCCTCGAACTCAAAGAGATTCACCTGGCTCTGCCTCCCAAGTGCTGGGATTAAAGCCATGTGCCACCACCACCTGGTGCTAAAATACTTCTGTGAGTGGGGCCTGTCCTCATATGTGGATCATACTATTAAAAAAATAAAATAAAAATAAAAAATTAAACAAACCAACTA